CAATGTATGTTTTAAGCATTGTGTGCCATATTACGTAATAAATAATTTTTATTGTTGAAATTACCAAAGATGGGGTGGTAAGAGAAGTGATATAGTCAAACAGTGCCAGGGAGAAACCAAATATTTTTCTCGAAGTCTTTATCTACGTCTTCCCCCCCCCCACCCGGCATTAAGACAACATCATTTGAAAACATCACCAAACGCTGGATTGAGCATTTGTTTTAAGTGATGTGGCCTTAAACTGGTGAAACCACCTGCTGAGCCCTGTGGAAATAACATACCAGCTTTATACACAATATCGTCTTGTAGGGTTAAATGTTCTTCACCTGCTGCAATGTCATGGAGGTCAATGTTGGTAGTGGGAGCCCTGGGTGGATGTTTGTCCTTCAGAGCTTGTGCTGTAACGACGTTCTTAGGGGCTATGGTATCCTCACTTGTTATAATCCTCAGTGCTCCAGTAGTATTACCCTACTCTATTTTTTGCTAATTTGGGGTCTGATTTTTGAGGCATCAGGTGTCCTGTCGTTCGCAGGTTGTCAACTCTAAGGAATGCATTTATTGCCCTAATAACAGATGCTGATAAGGGCTTGTCCCTTCTTGGTGGGACAGCTAGACAGGCATTGCCAAATAGCAGTAGGTTGTCCCCCCCCCCCCCCCCCCCCCCCCCCCATTCTGCCGGATCGTTGTCTGCATGGGCATCGTTGACTTTCTTCAGAGGTCAGCGAATTTGCTAGAAAAAGCCGCTGGAGGGCGAGAGCTGCTTAGGGGGATGTGTGTCAACGTCCTGGTGGATGTTAATTTGATTGCTGATATTAGGTCCTCTGTAGAGGTGAAGTCACGCTAACTGTCAGCTCTGTCTGCTGGGAGGGACTGTTGGTTATTCCCATTTGGAGTCCTCCGAGAGCCTAGACATCCATTATGTTCACGGATGTTGCCATTTGAGGGAATGAGTGAACAATCCCAGCGGCACACCTATGCTAGATGGCCTCGTCGGGGACGGATTACACTGCGTTTGGATCTGTTGGCGATTCCTCGCGGTACCCGCACATCTTGTGACATTGCTACCATCGTGGGCGTGGACGGGAGCCAGCTGTGGGATGACGGGTGAAGAACAGCATGGGTGCATGGGTGATGAGGGTAGAGGAGTAGCGAGCGTTAGCAAGAGTAATTGGAGGTGCACACTTGGTTGGTGCACTATATTTCTAGTGCACACTGGGTAGTGCACTACTATGTTCTAGTGCCCACTTCGTAGTGCAGTATGTGTTACTAGTGTACATGGGTAGGGCACATGTGTTACTAATGCACACTGGGTAGTGCACTATGTGTCATAGTGCACACTGAGTAGTGTACTATGTATCACTAGTGCCACGGGGTAGGGCACTAAGTGTTTCTAGTGCACACAGGGTAGTGCATCTATGTGTCACTAGTACACGCTGGCGTAGGTGCATTTGTTGTGACTAGTGCACACTGGAGTATGTGAACTATGTTGTCACTAGTGAACATTGGATAAGTGCACGGTGTCACTAAGTGCACACTTGGGTTGGTGCACTATTGTTACTAGTGCACACTGGTTGTGCACTGTATGCTATTACTTAGTATATTTATTTCGTAGTGTGTTGATGAAAAGTGCATAAATAAATGCTCCGTATATAATGTCACACTCCGGGATTTGTTCTGAAACTGGACGCGTATTATTCCTGGTGAGTCAGAGTGGCCAGGAGAGAAGAGTGAGGTGTGTGTCAGTACATGGAGCGCAGCACCTGGAGTAAAATCTCCCAAGACGCCACTGTTTGGCGCTTTTGTAGGATGGTGATTTTTTTTTTCTGTAGTTTATACAGAGGTTATTTTATTGGTTTAAGTGATGTCATGTTTACCTGTAAGACCCTAGTGTGCAGAGGCCTGTTTAAGTTTTGTGAGAGTCTCCTGCAGAAAGGGTAGGGAGGTGTCACTGAGCTTTCCTGTTTATAAACGATTGTTTTACTCACTAGTAACAGTGTGTTCGTGAGCTAATGTGAATGAGAAAAGGTGTAATGATGTGTGATTTTGTATATAGAGTAAGTTGTATGATGTATATGTAAATTTATTATTAATATGTATTTATATTTTTGTATAGGTGAGTTTTTGTGTTCTTCCTTGTAATTAATTTAATACTGACTCCACATTTTTAATGTGAAGGTATAAGCTGGTCCTTGAGTGTTTTTTTTCTATTTTAAATAATATAAATGCCCTTAGACTAGGCAGGTCGTTTACACTTCGGAACCAAGACTTTTATTTACGTTACGCTGTCAAAAGCGTAACAATGTTACTAGTGCACACTGGGTAGTGCACTAATGTATTATTAGTATATACTGGGTAGTGCACTATTGTTGCTAGTGTACACTACATAGTGCACAGTGTAACTAGTGTACTAATGTGTTACTAGTGTAAATTGGGTAGTGCAAAAATGTTAATATTGTACATTAAGTAGTGCACTGTGTTACTAGTGAACACTGGATAGTGTACTGTGTTACTAGTGAACACTGGATATTGCACTGTGTTACTAGTGAACACTGGATATTGCACTGTGTTACTAGTGAACACTGGATATTGCAAAACTGTGTTACTAGTGAACACTGGATATTGCACTGTGTTTACTAACGTTGACACTGGTTAGTGCACTGTTGTTACTAGGAACACTGGATTAGTGCCACTGTGTTACTAGTGAACACTGGATATTGCACTGTGTTACTAGTGAACACTGGATAGTGCACTGTGTTACTAGTGAACACTGGATAGTGCACTGTGTTACTAGTGAACACTGGATAGTGCACTGTGTTACTGGTGTACAAAGGGTGGTGTACTATTGTGTTACCAGTGTACGCAGGATATTGCACAAATTGTTTCAAGTGTAAGCTTGATGGTACTGGCAATTGTAATAAGTGTACACTGGATAGTACACTAATATGTTATCGTTTACACTGAGTAGTACACTAATATATTACTCGTGTCCACTGGGTAGTGCACTATGTTAGTCGTGTACACTGGGTAGTGCACTATGTTAGTCGTGTACACTGGGTGGTACACTATGTTAGTCGTGCACACTGGGTAGTACACTGTTAGTCGTGCACACTGGGTAGTACACTATGTTAGTCTTGTACACTGGGTAATACACTATGTTCGTCGTGTACACTGGGTAGTACACTATGTTAGTCGTGTACACTGGGTCGTACACTATGTTAGCCGTGTATATTGGGTAGTACATTTATATATTACTCGTGTACACTGGGTAGTACACTTTTATATTACTCATGTACACTGGGTAGTACACTTATATATTACTCGTGTACACTGGGTAGTACACTAATATATTACTCGTGTACACTGGGTAGTACACTTATATATTACTCGTGTACACTGGGTAGTACACTTATATATTACTATGTTAGTCGTGTACACTGGGTAGCCACATAGTTGTCGGTTTACACTGGGTATTTCGTTCACTATATTAGTTGTGTACACTGGGTAGTACACTATGTTAGTCGTGTACACTGGGTAGTACACTGTTAGTCGTGTACAATGGGTAGTACACTATGTTAGTCGTGTACAATGGGTAGTACACTGTGTTAGTCGTGTACACTGGGTAGTACACTATGCTTAGTCTGTACAAGGTAGTACAAACTATGTTAGTCGTATTCATTGGTAGTACCTATATCGTCGTGTACACTGGGTAGTACACTTATATATTATTCATGTACACTGGGTAGTACATGTATATTTCTCGTGTACACTGGGTAGTACATATATATTTCTCGTGTACACTGGGTAGTACATGTATATTTCTCGTGTACACTGGGTTAGTTACTTTATCATATTTACTCGTGTACATATGTAGGTACACTTATTATATTACTCGTGTACACTGGGTAGTACATGTATATTTCTCGTGTACAATGCGGTAGTTTTACTTATATATACTCGTGTTTACCTCTGTGTACACTTTTATATTGTGTACACTGGGTAGTACACTTATATATTACTCGTGTACACTCTGTAGTACACTTTTATATTACTTGTGTACACTGGGTAGTACACTTATATATTACTCGTGTACACTGGGTAGTATACTTATATATTACTCGTGTACACTCTGTAGTACACTTTTATATTACTTGTGTACACTGGGTAGTACACTTATATATTTCTCGTGTACACTGGGTAGTACATGATATATTTCTCGTGTACACTGGGTAGTATACTTCTATATTACTCGTGTACACTGGGTAGTACATATATATTTCTCGTGTACACTGGGTAGTACACATATATTACTCGTGTACACTGGGTAGTACACTTATATATTTCTCGTGTACACTGGGTAGTACACTTACATAGTATACGTGTTCACTGGGTAGTTTACTTATGTAATACTTGTGTACACTGGGTAGTACACTTATATAGTACACGTGTTCACTGGGTAGTATACTTATATATAACTCGTGTACACTGGGTAGTACACTTTTACGTTATTCGTGTACACTGGTAGTATACTTATATATTACTCGTGTACACTGGGTAGTACACTTATATAGTACACGTGTTCACTGGGTAGTACACTTATATAGTACACGTGTTCACTGGTCTCAGTAACTTATCATAGTACACGCGTTCACTGGGTAGTACACTTATATAGTACACGTGTTCACTGGGTAGTACACTTATATAGTACACGTGTTCACTGGGTAGTACACTTATATAGTACACGTGTTCACTGGGTAGTACACTTATATAGTACACGTGTTCACTGGGTAGTAGTACATTATATAGTGCACGTGTTCACTGGGTTAGTTTGCACGTGTCACTGGGTAGTGCACGTGTTCACTGGGTAGTGCACGTGTTCACTGGGTAGTGCACGTGTTCACTGGGTAGTGCACTAATGTTTTAAAGATGTAAATATTCCAGATCTATTCATTAGAAACTTGCTGATGTTAGGAAAAGTACAAAACAGTCACATATTTTTCACATCTATATTACTGGAGACAAAATAGAATAAATCTCTATTCTATATTTTCACGGAAGAGTCGGAATTCTCAACGTTTGTTGAATGACTTAATATAATTTTATTTAATTCAGAAAATATATAACAATTTAAATAATCCTTAAGTATTGCTTAATTAAGTACCTTCCGTGTGTTGTCTCATGCACATCCTTAACTATTCTGTTTAGGTCAGCCATTAAAAACATTTATTCATAGAGGCTTATGCAAATTGTTCTTGATACTCTTTGTAACTTTATGACTCACAGAGCCACATAACTTAAGTCTTGGTGAGGATTCAGAGGAAGAATGTCTTCAAGTTTGGTTGATCTTATAAAAATGTAGTCAGTCTTCCACTGAACCGTATGTGTATCGAATCGCTTCTTTAGTTTTCGTGACCGACTGTCACAACTCTGACAGCGACTTGTCAGTATGAAAAGTTTTGGCTTACTTAAGTAGTTTCTGACATATATAATTGTGACACCAGTCTTAAAACTGAATTTATAAATTTGTTATGTAAATTTAACTCTTAGGATAAATGTGGATAAAGCAAAGTATCAGAATTCGGTCACCAAGATCCTGCAAGTATTCACTCTGAAAGAAATGCCTCCGGCTGCTGGGAACTAAGGCCAGACTGGTGGATTGGGGTCACACCTCACTTTCTTTGTGGTTATTTATGAGTGGCCTCTCCACTGTAGTCTGCTCGTCTTCCTCCGACAGGATAAGTGGGGTCGGTGGACGTCCGCCAAACCCATGAGGAGGTTGCATGAGCGTGGTGTAAGGTAAACTATCTAGGTCTCCTTGCTGTGCTTCCTGGGAACTCAAGGCATCCATCACCATGCTGCTTCCAGAGCACATGCCAAGTCCCATTTCCAAAATACTGTCTGCCATGTGGTTACCCATTGTGTTAACCATTCGATCGAACATTACGCCAGTCACGGTTCCTTCCATGTTACTGCCCATCAGGCCTCCTGCAGGACTCATTACAATCCCGCAGTTGCCACTACTGTTAACGGGGTCGATGGCCATAGATACAGGAGCACCACGAATGGAGTGGTGTACCTGAGCATACATAGTTGACTCTGGCTTGCTGCTGGAGAACGTAGCGGTGGAGTACTGACCGCCGCCACTGGGAAAAGACAGCTCAGCATACATCAGCTCCGCTTTCTGAAACAAAGACAGAAAAAAGTCAGCGTTACTGGATATTATTTTGGTAATGTTTAAGTAATAAATACATTGTAGAATTGTGTTTAATATATGACAAGAAATACCTAAGACAATGATAAATTTAAGCGAGTGGCTTCATCAGTCCTTTTACAAAGTTAAAACAGGTTAATATATTTAGTGTACAGTGCATGTGACCTGAAGCAAAAGTGAGGTGAGGCGAGAGGCACGTCAAATTGCAAAAAAAAAAAATGTACTGGACAAATATGTAAGTGAGTTAGTTTAATATGTTTATTGTGCTCCAGATACCCATCCTATAGGTGGTAAGTCTAGAGATTACATAGGTACATAATGGGTCCAGGAACTGGGCCGCAAAGTTCTGATAGCTAAACAAGTTACAATGGCAATAAACCATATGTATGTTAATGTGGTTGCTGTTGTAGTGAGTGATTTATGCAGACATGAATTAGGTCACAGAAAAAATCCCCAAACAAATCCAAATATTCAGAATGGCTGGATTTCAGCAGGACCTGTCTAGCATGCGCCAGTACACATGCTACTTACCTTCTTCATTCTGACAGTGTGTTCACTTGATGAATTCTGATGTGGCTAACAATCTTTCACCTATTTTTTTTTTTAGCTTACTCTGTATTAAGACTAAAACTACTCATGGCGAAACGCTTCCTTTAATAAATTTCCCTGAAACTATACACTCGTTGTCCCTTTTCCAAAGTTTGTCGGACTTCTCCATACCATTTTACAACCGCGTTAATTTGGTTATTTATCCTCGTTTCCAAAAGTTATTAATATTACAGGAGATGGGTAGATAAATTATACTGTTTGTGAAAAATCATGGAGCTTGGCGAAGTCTGAGAATATACGTGAATGAGCATTTTTTGACTATAGGGTCATTTTTTATTTGCTTTCTGATTTTTGTCATTTTGGAATAATTGCTGCTGAAAATAAGATATAGCTTTCTTTATATAGAAAGTCTTTATTGCAATTATATTATTAGAATTACCAACAATGTGTTAGGTAAAAGGACACATCTGTAACTAATGCTACAATTTATTGTGGCTCTCCAGGAGTTTTGTCAAGTAACAGCTCGACAGAACTTCTGCAATTTATTGTGGTTCTCCAGGAGTTTTGTCAAGTAAGAGCTTGACAGAACTTCTGAAGAGCGATACGATGCCACAATAATATATGACATTAGTTCTTACCTGTGTCATTTTACCTTACAAGGTCTTTACTACCCTTTTGTTATAAACAATAGTTTAGTCACAAAGCATTTATCTATACTAGCTTGTATATTTTTTTCAATATTGTGTTAAAAAACATGCATAGTAACAGAGGTTAATTTAAGTTTAGCACAACTATATCATTATTGTCCAATTAAACATGATTTTTTAAGAAATTTTAAAGAAGAACTGGATAGTTTCTAAGTACCAAGCCAGTCCCATAACACAGAGCGGTGCGTTGTAGAGTAGCTCTATAACACTTGCACTCCTGTGCTACCCTTTCTTGCAACCTCATCGTATTACTGCCCTAAAGGCTTGCGTAGTTTCTGGTAGGCTCGCCCTGTTAGTGTCCAGGTTACCATCGACTCTCTTCTTCCACCAACATTCACTTCGCGATGGAAATTGTGGAGTGGCGACTATTATTGCAGTACAACCGATAACTAGCTGGTAGGCAGCCATACTGATATGATGAATAAGTGTAGCCTGGTAGGTGGCCAACCGTCAACTCCTCTTCCTTTCTCAGTGAAAATTTGCAGCCTTGTAGGAGGCAGACCATCAACCTCCACTTCCTTTCTCAGTGAAAATTTGCAACCTGGTAGGAGGCAAACCATCAACCCCTCTTCCTTTCTCAGTGTGAAAATTTGGTTCCCTGTATCGTGAACATGTTCCATCGTTGCTGGGTTCAGCAATAAAACAAGACAAATGGTTCCAATGTCTGCAGTCATTCCTCTACTGACTGTCTGTTTGGCCTACAATTTAAGGCACAGAGTGCAGAGTGGCATCCCCACGAGTATTCCAAGTGTCTCATGCAGTCTATTTGTCTCTTGCTACAAAAATGACAACGTGTCTCATCGTAATCAGCAGAAAATTAGCAGGGCCAAATTACAACAACCACAGACCGATGGATCTTGTTGAGTGGCAAAGTAGTGGAAGTTCTTCCCAACAACAACTGCAACTCACAGTGACAAACAAATCATCACCACACTCAAAGTTATTGTTTTTTGTTTTAATCATCAAGATATCACTGGAGAGCAGTCACCATGCCCCTTGTTTCACCTTTAGCGAGCATGGAGAACTGCGAAACATAAGACTGAAACATGGAGGACTGTGAAACATGAGACTTGAAACAGAGACTGAAACATGGAGGACTGTGACGCATGGGGTGATGTGAAAATGGAGATTGTGAAAAATGGAGACTGTGAAACGTGGACATGAAACATGGAGATTGTAAAATATGGAGACTGTGAAGCATTGAAGACCTGAAACCTGGTGCTGGGGAAACACGGAGAAACTGAAACATGGAGACTGAAACATGGTGCTGTGAAACATGGGGACTGTGCTGAAACATGGGAGACTGAACATGATGCTGTGAAACATGGAGACTGTGAAACATGGCGCTGGGGAAAACATGGAGACTGTGAAACATGGAGAAGAAACATGGAGACTGTGAAACATGGTGCTGTGAAACATGGAGACTGAAACATAGACTGTGAAACATGGAGACTGAAACATGATGCTGTGAAACATGGTGCTGTGAAACATGGGGACTGTGAAACATGGAGACTGTGAAACATGGAGACTGTGAAACATGGAGACTGTGAAACATGGTGCTGTGAAACATGGAGAATGTGAAACATGGACTGTGAAAATTGGTGCTGTGAAACGTGGATACTGCGAAACATGGAAACTGAAACATGGTGCTGTGAAACATGGAGACTGTGAAACATGTTGTGAAACATGGAGGCTGTGAAACATGGTGCTGTGAAACATGGAGACTGAAACATGGAGACTGTGAAAACTGGTGCTGTGAAACATTGGTGCTTGTGAAAACATGGTGCCTGTGAAAATGGAGCTGTGAAACATGGTGCTGATGAAAACATGGTGCTGTGAAACCATGGTGCTGTGAAACATGTGGCTGTGACACATGGTGCTCGTGAAACATGGTGCTGTGAAACATGGTGCTGTGAAACATGGTGCTGTGAAACATGGTGCTGTGAAACATGGAGCTGTGAAACATGGTGCTGTGAAACATGGTGCTTCTGTATTGAAACATGGGGCTGTGAAACATGGTGCTTGTGAAAACTGGAGATGTGAAACATGGTGCTGTGAAACATGGTGCTGTGAAAACATGGTGCTGTGACATGATTGCTGTGAAACATGGTGTTCTGTGATACATGGTGCTGTGAAACATGGTGCTGTGAAACATGGAGCTGTGAAACATGGTGCTGTGAAACATGGTGCTGTGAAACATGGTGCTGTGAAACATGGTGCTGTGAAACATGGAGCTGTGAAACATGGTGCTGTGAAACATGGTGCTGTGAAACATGGAGCTGTGAAACATGGTGCTGTGAAAACATGGTGCTGTGAAAACATGGTGCTGTGAACATGGTGCTGTTGATGAAACCAGGTGCTGTGAAACAGGGAGCTGTGAAACATGGGTGATGTGAAAACATGGTGCTGTGAACATGGGAGCTGTGAATGAACATGGTAGCTGTGAAACATGGTGCTGTGAAAACATGGTGCTCGTGAAACATGGTGGAGCTGGTGAAACATGGTGCTGTGAAAACATGGTTGCTGATGAAACATGGAGCTGTGAAACATGGTGCTGTGAAACATGGTTGCAGTGGAAAACTGGTGCTGTGAAACATGGTTGTCTGTGAAACATGGTTGCTGTGAAACATGGTGCTGTGAACCATGGAGCTGTGAAACATGGATCTGTGGAAACATGGTGCTGTGAAATCATGGGCTGTGAAACATGTAAGCTGTGAAACATGGAGCTGGTCCTGCATAGGATTCAGTGGGACAGAAATGGCGGGGAAGTCACTAAACGAGATGATGGAATACGTGACAAAAATAAGCAAGGAAGCCGAAGAGAGGTTTGCACCCAAGGGTAACAGGAATAACGAAAAGCCCAGGATGAGCCCGTGGTTCACCCAAAGGTGCAGGGAGGCCAAAACCAAGTGTGCTAGGGAATGGAAGAGGTATAGAAGGCAAAGGACCCAGAAGAATAAGGAGAGCAGTCGTATAGCCAGAAATGAATATGCACAGGTAAGAAGGGAGACCCAAAGACGATACGAGAATGACATAGCAGCAAAAGCCAAATCTGACCCAAAGCTGTTGTACAGTCACATCAAGAGGAAAACAACAGTCAAGGACCAGGTAATTAGGCTGCAGCTTACGGGTGCCTGGCAAACTTAAGAACAGCATTCCGACATCTTAATAAGGAATCGTTCAGGACCCTGTACACTGTGTACGTTAGGTGCATATTGGAGTATGCAGCACCAGTTTGGAACCCTCACCTAGCCAAGCATATGAAGAAACTAGAGAACGTGCAAATGTTTGCCACAAGACTAGTCCCAGAGCTAAGGGATATGTCCTACGAGGAGTGCTTAAGGGAAATCGACCTGGAGACACTGGAAGACAGGAGAGAAAGGGTTGGATGTGGTAACGACATATAAAATACTGAAAGGTGGACAGAGACAGGATGTTCCCGAGATGAGACACAGCAGCAAGGTGTCACAGTTGGAAGTTGAAGACTCAGGTGAACCACATGGATATTAGGCAGTATTTCTTCAGTCACAGAGTTGTCAGTAAGTGGAATAGTCTGGGAAATGATGTAGTGGAGGCAGGATCCATACATAGCTTTAAGAAGAGGTATAGTAAAGCTCATAGAGCAATGAGAGTGACCTAAGTAGCGACAGTGAAGAGGCGTGGCCATGAACTGTGATTCGACCCCTGCAACCACAACTAGGTGAGTATAAACAT